CAGGCCTGTCAGTATTACATAATTTAAATAAAGATTTGAATTTGTCTAGGGTAGACAGGTGCTCACTTATCATTTTCTTCCCTGTTTTAACTTGTGTTACTAATCTGTTTTTTATGGTGCTGTTTTTGATAGGTTGGACTGTTTTTTCCCTTTGTGTAAAGACAGTATTTTCCTTAGTTTCAGGGATATCTCAAATCTTTATTTAAATTATGTAATACTGACAGGCCTGGCCCATACATATAATTTAGTTTCAGACACGTGTTATGCACCTCTATATCTGATGAATCATTTCTTCACTCTTGAATTTGGCTAACTTGAAGGAAATTGAGAAGCCTGGAGAATAAAAGCAAAGATGTAACAGAGAAAGGGTTGGAAGCAAAAGAGTATTAAAAGTATTAAAAGTGTAAGACAACCACTTTTCTATTCTGGGGAACTTTCTTAAATTCCTAAATAGGTGAAAGTGATTCAGGAAGTAATTTGAGAAGACATTTCTGGCAGGGTTTTGAACTTCACTTCATATAATTTCTCTCATGGCTTAAAAACACTAAGCCTCCCCAGAACAAGTGTCTTTAATGCCTATTATGATTATTTGTTGTTTGGGAATTATTGGAACTGAAGTCCAACAAGCTTGTGGGAAAAAGCCAAGGCAATTGTGATTTCATCAGCTGATGAAGGAAGGTGGACAGGAGGACCCTGTGTCCTTCAGAAATCAACTTTCAGAGCTGCTTCTCAGATATTTGTTGTTAGTTGCAAAGTGACGTCGACCCATCACGACACCGTGGACAACATTCCTCCAGGCCTTACTGTCCTCTACTATCCCCCAGAGTCCATTTAAGCTCACACTGATTGCTTCAGTAACTCCATCCAGCCACCTCATTCTCTGTCATCCCATTCTTCTTTTGCCCTCAATCTTTCTCAGCATTAGACTCTTCTCCAGTGAGTCCTTCCTTCTCATTTGGTGGTCAAAGTACTTGCGTTTCATCTTCAAGATGTGGCCTTCTAAAGAGCAGTCAGGGTTGATCTCCTCTAGGACTGACTCTCAGATATTACCTTGACTAATTTACCATAAATTGGGAACTAAACTTTTATTTAAATGAGGTTTAAATCAGATTAAGGTATACCCAAGGAATCTATTAGTATTGGTATTACCTGCCGTTTATTTTGCCACAAGTGATTCTATTTCTGTTTGCAGGCCTGTGCATTTTATTATCTTCTCCAGTTCTTTCTTCTGCTGTCTTCAGGTAGTGCCACTTCCACCTTCCAGACTATGCTCAAGACCACTGTAACTGAGTCCATCAACATTTCTGCTGACCTTCCTCTTCTTCTCTTTTTTTACACCTTTCAAGCATAAGAGCCTTCTCTCCAGAGAGCTGGGCCTTTGCATCATGCGTCCAAAGTAGGATACTTTGAGCTTGATCCTTGGTGCCTCTAGTCAGAATCCTGGGTTGATTAGAGATGTGGGGCAAATTGGATTTGATAGATAGGTTTATTCTGTATGGGGCTAACTGCTGTACCTTTTTTGTGGGCTAGATAGACTTGTATGCACTTTTCCCAGAAGCCCTCAGTACCATTCTGTTAATAATCCTTGCTTCAACTTGTTTTAAGGATTGCAAGGTCCCAAAGGAAGCCTTGGTCCTCCAGGGAAGATGGGGCCAGCTGGACCAGCAGGACAAAAAGGGGCTCAAGGAAATACTGGAGCGAAAGGAGATCTTGGACAAATAGGTAAGATTTATGGCCACGTTTATGGTTTCCAGTTTTTCCAGAGTGGCACTCAGAGCTGGTCTTCAGGCAGTAATAGAAATTTTGAGTAATTCAGAGAACTAGGCTGGCCCCGCCCCCGCTGCCTCCCAACTTCCCAGGTGATCTTCTTTTGTTGCCCTGCACAGGACAACAGAGCTGGAAAGCAGGTTAGTGGGGTGGGGAGGGAATGGGGATTTTACAATATCTTTCCCTTGCCAAGCCCATAAAGCCACACCCACAGAGCCACACCATGCCCACAAAGCCACGACCACAGAACCGGTAGTTAAAAAAAATTGAATCCCACCACTGAGCAGCATCAATTACACGTCCAATTTTACAAACTTTATTTTTGCCACATTTGAATCCAATCTTCCCCTCTGGATTTTGCTTCTCAGAAGCCCTCTGGGAAGGTCCCCAATTGTAATCACGTGACCACAGAATGCTGCACCCAAAATCATGATCACATGATTGTGTGGATGGTACGACGGTTTTACCTTCAAGAACAGATCCTACATCCCTTTTATGGGTGCCATTCTAACTTACATTTCTAACTTACTGCATCTCTGTATGGTTTGCCGATTGCACAGTGGCGGATAGGACATCGCTCCAGAGGGTCAACATCACTGCCCAGAGGATCATTGGTTGCCCTCTCCCCTCTTTGGAAGAGCTTTATAGCTCCCGCTGCCTTTAGAAAGTTCAAAACATTCTTAAAGATCCATCTCATCCTAGGCACTTTTTTTTTAACTATTACCATTTGGCAGGCGGTACAGGATAATAAAAACAAGGTCAAAGAGGCTGAAAAACAGCTTCAATTCCAGCTTCTATCCCCGCTTCTATCCCACATTGAATTCTACAGTGTAGTGCAATATCAGGTTTTCAATTTCAATTATATAGAAAGTAAAATTGTAATGTACACTGAAGACGGCATTTAATTTCATTGCACCATGTGCAATGACAATAAAGTAAACTAAACTAAACTAAATTTGCATCATCGTTAAACAAATGATTGTATATTGAGGACTACCTGTGCTGTCACGTACCCATTGAGATGTCTCATCAAGGCTTCCTGACAGCTAGCTGGCCTCATTGCTCAAGGAAATGTTCTGGTCTGCATCACCAACACTGTACTTTATCTGTAATCTTACAGACTCAAGATGTCTCAATTCTACACCCCGAAGTTCCTGGTTGAAGACAACAGATCATTGTTCTCCTCTCTCTTTTCTGACATAGTTTATTTCATTTGAATAGGCCCACGGGGGATTCAGGGTTTGCCTGGCTCTGCTGGAAATGTGGGCCCTTCGGGACCAAAAGGTAACATTGGCCCGCAAGGTGAGAAAGGGGTCAAAGGAGAAATAGGTAAGTTTGTTTAATTAAGAGTGATTGACTCTGTAGGAAGAAAAATCCTAGGTCCTGGTCCAAGCCGGGAATAAAATGGAGGCTGCGTGCAAAGACAGGTTCCCTTTATGGGTGAACGGAACCACTGGGGTTTGTGGATCTGGGGCAGCTGACAAATTAGCTGGATGAGTGCCATGATTTTTATACTGGTCCTTAAATGCTGCTTGGGTGATGGGTGTGTCTGTGTGTGTGTGTGTGTGTGTGTGTGTGTGTGTGTATGCGTGCATGCAATGTCTGAAATGCCCTCAGGAGATTGTGCAAGGTAGTAAGCTCTGTGTCTTTTGCTAAATAGTAGTGTGCTAATCCTGTTATGTCCTAGAGCAGTGATGCCTAACCTTTTTGTCGTCGTGTGCTGAAAGCATGCGCGACAATGTGTGCGCACACCCGCATGCATATTGCAATGCATGTGTGACACCCACACTAGTGGCCCCATTATGCATGCACAAATGACCCCCTGCTCCCTCTTCCCCCCCCCAACGCATGCATCTGTGGCCCCCCGCACCCCTTTTGGGACAAGTAAGACTCCCTGCATCCTCCTGGGACCAAAAACAGGCCAAGGGGGGGCACGCCATACACACTGCCCCATTTTGGGCCTAATAGGCCTCCCTGCAGCCTCCTGGGACCAAAAACAGGCCAAGGTGGTGGACGCCACACATCCCTGTGCTCCCCCTCCCCCCTGTGCATGTGCATGGGCCCCCTCTGATCCCCCACACATGCACACACCTCTCCCACATGCGCCCAACCCCCCCATGCATGCACGGCAGAGATCCGAAAATCAGCTGGCTGGTGGGAGGCATGGGAGCATGCGCAGTGGAGAGGAGTTGGGATGACAGCACGTGTGCCTATAGAGAGGGCTCTGGGTTCCATAGGTTTGCTGCCACAGTCCTAGAGGGGCATGTCCTGGTCTTAGAATTTGGATGGAGGAGAATGTAAATTTTAATCCCATCCCTTGAGGTGAAGGTCTTTTGTTTTGTGAATAGGTTGGCCCAATCTTTCTTAATGGACACAAGATATCTGCTGGGGCTATTAGGAAAGACTGAGTTTTCTTTCTGTCTTTTACAAGCATGTTTCTCAATTTCTCCTTTGGGGAAATAGCAATAACACTTAAACTTATAAATCACTTCACAGTGCCTTTACAGCCCCTTTTAAGCAGTTTACAGAGTCAGCCTAATGCCCCCAACAATCTGGGTCTTCCTTTTACCCACCTCAGAAGGATGGAAGGCTGAGTCAACCTTGAGCCTGGTGAGATTCGAACTGTCAAAATGCAGACAGCCGGCAGTCAGAAGAAGTAGCCTGCAGTACTACACTCTAACCACTGCACCACTGAGGCTCGTGAAATATAATATTCTCCCTCTTTTAATACTCCTCGAAATATTTCATTCTTCTAGGAGGGAGGGAATTCCCCCAATTCCCTCTATTTATGCTCTTGGAATTGGATTAAAAAATAATTATTGAAGAATAGCGTAACAGGCATGTTCAATGGATCGATGCGGCTGTATTCTTTTAGACCTCAATTAAGAGATCATTTGCAGTCCATTTGTAATGTCCCAAAGGGATCTCCTGTTCAACCATCACATCTTTTCAACTAAAAAGATCAGTGAGTTCATCCAAGCTACTGAGCAAGGTCAAAGCAGCTTTCCAAATTCTGCCTTCAAACCCTTTTAGGGAGATAACAAGGTGGTTTAAAATGGGATAGAATGGTAAATAAGATATGTGGCCCAATTTTTTTTTTAGAACTATACTTTCTCTCCTATGCAGCTACAGCTATTGGATCCTAAGTCTAGATTTGACTGTTTGCATGTGTTTATAGTTGTTATAAATAATTTGTAAACAAAGAGAGAACTAGATCTAACATCCAATAATCTGGAGGCACATAAAGCACTAAGAAAATGGAAGATTTATGGGTGGCATATGCAAGAAATCTTACATTTTCTATTTTTCGATGGTTCTGATTGGTTTTGTTATAATGCCACGACGAGTCTGGTGGCCATGAATTTAGAAGCATCAGATCAGGGGTGGACTTCAAAAATTTTAGCAAGGGGTTCTCTGCCCTGTTGCTGGGTGGGCACAGCCATGGTGGGCATGGCCTAGTTGGCTTCCTGCACCATGGCAGGGGAGGCCCTGGGAGGGCAAAAATGGCCTTCCCAGGCTCCAGAAGTCCTCTGGAGGCTGGTAACAGGCCCATTTCCAGCCTTCCCAAACTTCCAGTAGGCCCATTTTTTGCCCTCCCTGAGCCTCCACATGCACCCCGCACTTCCCTGCATCCAAAACGGGCAGTGTGGGAACTCCTGGGAGGGACAGTGAAGGTAGGTGAACTGCACAGAAATTGAGGTAGAGGTTCTCCCAAACCCCTGCATCAGATTAATTTTTATGCAAAAATGGATTAGATGAGGAGGCAATCTGCTCTATTCTTTTATTGTGCATTTAACAAAGCAGAACTGCAAACCAGAAATGACATTCCTGTTTTGTGGGTCGTTATTTTTTGCAATGCGCCTGTCTCATTATGAATGTCATTTTCCTCTATCTTCAATATCACTGTAGGTCTCAAAGGAGCCCTTGGCCCTGCAGGGCCCCAAGGCAAAATAGGTGGCCCTGGACCAGCTGGGGCCAAAGGATCAGTGGGTGAAAGGGGAGCAAAAGGAGACATGGGTGTCAAAGGTAAGTCAAGAGTTTTGTCACATTGTGGTCGGTTGAATTTCAAGCATGGCTTTGGCTTTTGTTGGAGGGTCCTTGTGTTGATCTGATTGGCAAATAGGTTGTTTATCCTGCTCTCAGCTTGTGGCAGTGACAGGAGACAAGGGAGGAGAGAGCTTTGAAATGTAGACAAGTGAAAGAATGAAAAAGGAGGGGTAATTTTAGAAAGAGCAAACAGGGGCCGGAAACAAAGTCTTACAAAACATTTTCCATTCTTGCAAAACCAGAAAAGAGAAGTAGATGTTCAAGAAAGAAGAAAGAAAGAAAGAAAGAGAAAGAAAGAAAGAAAGAAAGAAAGAAAGAAAAAAGAAAGGAGGGAGGGAGGGAGGGAGGGAAGGAAGGAAAAGAAAGAAAGGAAGGAAGGGAAAGAAAGAAAGATGAAAATAGGGGAATGTATTTCTCCTGGCATAATTGCCCCAACTCTACCCCAAAATTAAGGTATTCCAAGATTGTAAAAAGGGATGGTTGTTGTTGTTTTTTAAATCAAGAACTGGGGCAGGGAAATAACCCAAATACCCAGTAATTCTCACCTAGGTTTCTTGACAAGATTCTAGAAGCACTTGCCCTTGGCTTCTTCTTTAAAAGTTTTTCTCCCTGTCCCAACTCTCTAGCTTGCAAACTTGGTCTTCCTTCATGGTCTTCCACCCAGCTCCTAAACATGTCTAGGACCAGTAGTAGTGATCAGCCTCCCTCCAAAAAAATCAACATCTTTTTGTTTCCCTCTCCCAATCACCTGCAATTTTGAAGACCAGATCTGGAAACTCAAAGCAGTAACAGTGCTTGAGGGTCTCCTCCAGGAGTGGGATTCAGCCAGTTCGGACCGGTTTGGGACAAACCTGATGTTAATGTTACATCTGGTTCGCTAAATCAGTAGTTGCAAGGACTGGCTGGCCCCACTCATCCCACCCCTCCCAGGAGTCTCCATGTGCCCTGTTTTGAATGCCGGATAAGTGCAGTGATCAAGCAGAGACTCGGGGAGGGCAAAAAACTGGCCTCCTGGAAGTTCCAGAAGACTGGAAATGGGCCTGTTTCTGGCCTCCAGAGGGCCTCTGGAGCCTAAGGGAGGCCGTTTTTGCCCTACTGGAGGCTCATGGAGAGCCTCCGGAGCCTGGGGACAACTGGTTGCTAAAAAAATTAATTCCCTGGTCTCCTCCTATATGGAGTTTGTCCCATAATCAGTTTTGCTGTGAGATACAGATGCTGGAGAACCATTAGCCTTGTGACCCTAATCCTATAGCCTGGGAAATAAGCTCTCAACTAAGAATGAGACTGGCTTTGGTCCCTTCTCTTTGCTCTTTTTTCTGGTTGGTAGCCACCCGCTTGTGGTTTATTATTATTATTAAGCAAATTGACCAAGTTAAGTGGAACCATCAAAAGTCCATTAATTGAATTCCATCTAATTTGGCAAATGAATTCTAAGAAGTCGAGAAGCTACATAGATGTCAGCCATGTTATTCATCAGGAGCTGAGCCTGATATTGAAGAGACTTTATTTTCAAGTTGTAGCAGATGGCAGCTCCTAACCAACATTGGCTGATCTTCAAAAGCTCAGCAGTCAGGGCCAGTTGGCAGTTGGGTGGCATCCAACCAGGAAATCCCTAGACAGGAGGCTGAATTGAGAAGTTGGACTCCATCCCAGGAGGTGGCAGTGAGAGCCTATATCAATATCTTTGCTGAGAAAGGTACAATAGGAATTGAGTGAAACTCAAAGAAGATTTAGTCTAAAGACAGTTAGGTTTCCATCCCACTCATGTGTGTTCTTTAAAGGTAAAGGTTCCCCTCGCACATATGTACTAGTCGTTCCTGACTCTAAGGGGCGGTGCTCATCTCCATTTCAAAACTGAAGAGCCAGCGCTGTCCGAAGACATATCCATGGTCATGTGGCCGGCATGACTAAATACTGAAGGCACACGGAATGCTGTTACCTTCCCACCAAAGGTGGTTCCTATTTTTCTACTTGCATTTTTACATGCTTTCGAACTGCTAGGTGGGCAGAAATTGGGACAAGTAACAGGAGCTCACTCCATTACATGGTGCTAAGAATTCGAACCGCTGAACTGACGAACTTTCTGATTCACAAACTTGGCATCTTAGCCACTGAGCCACCTTTTCATGTGTTCTTTACAAATATCTGAAAATGTTTACTAACTTTAAATGACTTGCTGGTCTGATCTCTTACAACAGGAACGCAAGGACCACCAGGTCCCCAAGGGCCAGCGGGAAAACCTGGTTCTACTGGAGCCAAAGGAGATAGGGGTGCCATGGGTGAAAGGGGGATAAAGGGTGATAGTGGTCTCTCAGGTGAGTGAGATGAATGTTGCTTCCTTGTTAAACTTTCATTTAACAACCTTTAGTTTAGAAGAACATTTTGAGTCAGTCCTTTTCATGTCATTGTGACAACCTTTCGGTGTCCTTTTTAGCAGGGGATGTGGTTAATATTTGAGATCAATCTGCTTGATGTTTCCATCAACCTATTGGTAAAGGGATGGTGGGGTCCACCTATATTTTCAGCAAGCAAAAGGCACATGAGAAAAGGAATCAATATTCGGATTCATCAATCGCTATCAGGTGGAAAGATTCAGGTCAGGGGTGAAATCAACTTACCTTCGCTACCGGTTCGCAAATGTGAACTTCCACGAATGTGTAGGACCTTCCATGCATGCACAGTGCATCAAAATGGGACGTGATGACATCTGGGTGGGTGGGCGGAGCCTGCTACTGAATGCACCTGCAAAGGTAAGTAGAATAGCGAGGGGGGAAACTGCTGTGCAACGTGATTTAGATTGGCTAGAAAGCAGGAAATCCCATGATTCTAGCTAATATAAATCCCGTATCACAGCTGATCGTCAGAAATACCAATTCACCTGAACCGGTATCCTGTTTCTACAAAAATACGACCTCCCCAGATAATAAGTCCAGTCAGGCTTTTGAGCACATGGACTCTCCCAAAAATATTGCAACACAGCAACAGCCATCAGGTGACATACTCGCTGCCTCCTGCACCTCAAACATAATAAGACCTCCCCAAAAAAACAAGGCCAAGGGCTTATTTTGGGGGGTCAAAAGAAAATAAGGCCCTGTCTTATTTTTGGGCAAACACAGTAGCATTTTTTTTACTACCGGTTTGGGCAAACCGGTAGCATTTCACCGCTAGTTCAGTTCCATATGTTAAATTGAAGTTCAAAAAAGATTTATCACTCATGTATGCACAACAATCTAGTCAACTAACATTTAAAGGTAAATTGGCATCAGCTAAGGATCAGTGGAATTAATAGGCATTGGACTTGGATTATTTCTGGCAATGTAATGACTCTTAGCTGATGATGCATTTACCTCCACCTCCCAGTTCTGCCTGCTCTTCTCCTACATCGGTTTTGTGCCAGTGTCTTCCTATTCAGGATGCTATAGTCCAATATCTCACAGATTGTGATCATCTCGTTCTCTCTTAGAGGTCAATCTTTTGAAGACTAAAGTTAGCACCCTGGAAGGACAGCTGAAAGCTCTACAGGCCAGCTTTGCCAAGTATCAAAAAGGTAAAAACAATGTGCAGAACACACAAATCCCTCTGGATGAGTTTGATCTCTTAGCAAAGAGTTGATGGATTAGAAGAACTAAGGCATATCTGCAGGTGTGATGCAGCAGCAGCACCCTTATGCCCCAAACTATGGTAGAAAGCTTGACAGCAGGTGTTAATAGTTGGGAAGGTGCTCCTGCCCCATATTTGCAAATTATTCCTGAGTTGAAGATGCTCAACTACTTTAAGCATTGGGGTTGTGTCAAAGAGATGCTTTGTTTTAAAGAAAGTTCATGAGAAGCTTCCCTGTTGTTTCACGAAGCAAGGGTGTCCTTCAAGACAGTCTCTTGCATTTTCAGTAACAAGCCGCCATGATGTAAAAAAGATTTTGAGACTCTGGAAAGAGTGCAGAGAAGAGCAACAAAGATGATTAGGGGACTGGAGGCTAAAACATATGAAGAACGGTTGCAGGAATTGGGTATCTCTAGTTTAATGAAAAGAAGGACTAGGCAAGAGTCTCCAAAGCACCTGAGGGTAGGACAAGAAGCAATGGGTAGAAACTCGTCAAGGAGAGAAGCAACCTAGCGAGCCGAGGTGGCGCAGTGGTTAGGGTGCAGTACTGCAGGCCACTTCAGCTGACTGTTATCTGCAGTTCAGCGGTTCTAATCTCGCCGGCTCAAGGTTGACTCAGCCTTCCATCCTTCTTTTCATTAGAGTAGAGACACCCAATTCCTGCAACTGTTCTTCATATGTTTTAGCCTCCAGTCCCCTAATCATCTTTGTTGCTCTTCTCTGCACTCTTTCCAGAGTCTCAAAATCTTTTTTACATCATGGCGGCTTGTTACTGAAAATGCA